GTAGCTAAGACAGATGGTGCAACTTTAGCAAATGTTATAAAGGATGTCCTGACAAGATCCCAGCTTCAATTAAGTGATTGCCGTGGACAAGGGTATGATGGAGCTTCAAACATGTCTGGTTGCTTTCAAGGGGTAGCTAGCCGTTTGAAAAGTGAGGAGCCATCAGCTTTATATGTACACTGTAGCGCTCATTGTTTGAATCTCTGTTTACAAGATTGTAGTAGTAAATGTTTATGCATTAGGATGCAAGGCAAGAAAATGTGTTTTCCCCATTGAACTCTTAATAAACTTGACGTCCAACATGGCGGCCAATTTACTGTGTGGGTTGGATATACAGTACTTAAAAGCTATGAATATACTTAGCACGCATATCCTCTACTAGATGGACAGTTCGCACTTCTGCCATAGATTCTGTAATAAAGAATTATGCAGCTATTTTTGAAGAGGTGGAGGAAATTGGAAATTGAAGATGTGAATCATCTAGCAAAGCTGTTGGCATCATTGCATTGATGGACAGGTTTTCCTCATATTTTGGCCTAAAACTGGCACTTCTTGTATTTAGTGCCACTGAACAAGTTTCTGTTACATTACAGCACCATGATATTAATGCGCAAGAAGCACTAGCAGCAGTAAAGACTGCAGTTTGCTATTTAAATAGACAAAGATCTGATGATGCATTTAATCTAATTTATGACTTAGTCTTGCAAGAAGCAGCTGAGAAAGGGCTACAGCAGCCAACTCTTCCTAGGCAGAGGAAGATTCCAAGGAGAATTGATGATTGGAGCAAAAATCACACTTTCTTTTCTCCGAAGGAGTTTTTTCGTGGTCAATACTTTGAGGTTTTGGATGTACTGAAAGGAGAACTTATAAGAAGATTTGATCAGCCCACATTTGCTATTTTGAGGGAAATGGAAAAAATATTGATTGATAGCTGTAATGAGAAGAATATTGTTTTTATCTACAGAAATAAAAACCCTGTATGCCAACAGCTTGGATATAAACAAACTTACCACTCAACTCGCAATGCTATCAAGTGTCATTGAAGCTAGTAATAATGACGATTATCAAATGGGGATTAAGAGTGTAACATCTGTGAACACCATTTGTGAAGTGTTTAATGCGTGCAAGTTTTCAAGATCAATGCTTCCTGAAGTTGACAGACTCCTCCGCCTGTATTACACCATTCCAATTACTTCTGCCACAGCTGAAAGGACCTTTTCCACCCTCCGTAGGCTAAAATCTTACCTTCGTTCTGTCACAGAAAAATCTGTCCCACCCAAATTTTGTCCCATGAGACAAAATATTTTATCCTAGGACAAAATCTTTCAGAAATATTTTGTCCTAGGACAAAATTTTTCAGAAATATTTTGTCCTAGGCAAGCTTTTATTGTCCTACCATAGGACTAATTTTTTTGTCCTAGGACAAAATAATATATGAAATATTTTTGTCCTAGGACAAATTGTATCTGAAATATTTTATCCTAAGATCGCATATATAGACTATTTTGATAAGGAAAATTTACTTAGCACTCAGTATTAATAATAATAATAATAATAATACATTTCATTATCGCACAATAATTGTCTTCATGCAGCTTTTACAAGAATTACATGACCAAACGTAGTCCTTATCAGTCCAAACATCTTCTAGTATTTGTTCACACTCTACATGATACCACTCCTTACATTAAGAACATTTTACCGGCATTCTTCCTTCATTACTATAGGTTGTCTGCACAGGCAGTATATAGGTAACCTGTATTCTTTGGATAGTCCAGGGCATCTAGCTCTTAAACAAGTAGAAAACAAAGACATCACATTCTTTTCTAAGCATTATAAAGATGGAAACGAAGCTTATGTGAAATATAGCTGCAAGAAATTGGGTCTTAACCAGCACAAATTGACATTGCTAAAGCAAGGGCACATAAACCACAATCTTATTGTCCATTTTGCCTTAATTTGCACACTAGGAACAGTCACTTTAATTCCCTGTACTCGGTGCATTGCGGTATTGCTGCTATCTGCTCCCTGGTACGTTTATCAATACCATCACTTGGCAAGCTATCATATATCAGTTTGTTATAATTGATGCTTTGGTTTAATTATTCAAATCATGAATGCAGATGCATATATACATACTGAGTTTGTCTACAAAAGCACAGATGTCATACTACATACATACATATATACACATAACTAACTAAACTATTTAAAATACACAAAACACCTACACTATCATGATATAGTTGACCATTCAGTCATCTTGGTCTGCGGGTAATACGGTTCCCCATTTTGCACTAAAAACAAACTTTTCAGCTATTTTCCATATCTGCCTCTTTCTGTTAGCACTACAACCTTCTGGACACTTTCTATCAGCTAAATACACAGCTGCCTTCTCCACAAGATCATCCTCTTAATTCTTTCCTGGGTTCTTTACTCGCCGGGTTCTTAGCACAGTCTGTCATCCCTTCTTCGATCTGAAATCTTCTTCTATGTACTTTGAACGTATAATAAAGGGTCCCACATGCTTTGTACTTGTATTCCATAGATAAATAATTAAGGAACAAAGTCGAATACAAAGATTTACAGTTCCTTTACACTTTTCTTTTGGTAGGACAAGAAATTGCTGACGCGGACATAAAATATCACATGATATTTCTATCCTAGGATAAATTTTCACGGGGGACAATTTTTTTCGTGACAGTTCAACTATGTCTCAGAAGCAATTAAACCATCTTATTATTTTACATGCATACAAACATCTAACAGAGCAAGTAGACCTACAAGCCATTGCAGTTGATTTTATTAACAAAAACAACAGAAGAATAAACTATTTTGGACATTTCTGAAGTGCTATTGATTAATAGTTATTCACGTTAAGTAATTATTCATTAATAATAGACTAGTTAATTATTTTCATTTTTCAATAATGGAGACTCGTGCAGAGGCTGGGATCCAAAATAGGCCTTTAAATTCTTTATGGTCCTCCATACACTTATCTTTGGAGTCCTAAACAAAAATATTGGTAGTATCCAGAGATTTTCCTTCTTTACTGCTGCAAGGGGGGCTCAGTCCCCCTCATTTTTTTAGGAAGGGGGCTCAAGCCCCTCTTGCCCCCATGTTTCCGCCGCCTATGAAGAGTGGATACTTATCCACTCTTGTCTGTATGTATGTGTGCACAATATCTATTTTAAAATCAATGATCTAATACGGTACCATTCTAATGAAATATTTTCATTGATGTGGGTGTGTATGTGATGTGGGTGTTATACCATAGATATTAACTCTACTATCTATGGTTATACCATAGATATTATAGACTACGTAACCAGGATTGGAAACTAGCTCACGTGATCCATTCAAACCAGTACAAACCGGCTGACACAGGGTCCGTGATTGGATTTTGGTGGGTGTGGTCAAAAAATGGCTACTCATCGACGACATTCAAAGGAAGACTCATAGTTGCCAACCGTCCCGGAATGTCCGGGACAGTCCCGGATTCACTGCTGTTGTCCCGGAGGGGTCCCGGATTGCTCTTTGTCCCGGATCAGCCATTTTTACAGTCACACCCATGCAAAATTGACCACTCCCAGTAATAAAAATTCAATTAATATCAATTATAATCATAGCTGCATGAACAGTGAGCTCAAAAGTTAAAATTAAGCTCAAAAATGAACTCAAATTGCTGCTCAGGAACTGCAGCAAGAATGTAAGAAGTGATCATCATCAATCCTAGTGGGTGTGGTTCTATGGGTGTGGCTTCCTGTCCCAGAATTCAGTGACAGAAAGTTGGCAACTATGAAGACTGTATTTAAACCAATGTTGATTTTTTGTTATTTCAATAATATTTCAATACTTTAGTGTTTGTGTAATATGACTATAATGAAAAAAATAATGATACCATTGTTATTTTGCAAATATACTGTGATATTGTTCAAATTTT